TTAAAAATCATAACAAATGTTCTTAAAACATTTTTAAATAACACTGTTTTAGAAGATTCATTCTTGTAATCATATTAAAATAAATTGTGTTGCACTTACAGAATTAATTAGTGAACTTATCCTCCAGGTGTAATTGCTAGTCGTTCAGTTCACAATCATTAACCTTTATGGATCCTTTATGGAGCTTATAAAGCCTTCTGGTAGAAGGAATCTCTTCCTCCCCTCTCCAAAATCTATGGTACGGTGGAAGCCCCGGGTCTTGGAATCCTCTATTGAATGCATAGATTTAACCCAAGAAATGGATCTAGATGCGTGGAAGCCCCCTGTGGGGGAACAACTGAGGATGCAATCATGTGTGTGATGTTTGGAACTGTCTGGGGTTTTAAGGAAGGGTACCGAGCAGGACACCAACCTCTAAAACCATCAAACAGAAACAGGCAGATACAGGTGGGCTGGGTGAGCCCATCAGGCTAATGTCCCAAGGAACTCTGATGAACGAACAGACAAGAAGTGGCAGCTGTATGCTTGGGGCAATGGCTGCTCTACCACCTTGCTGGGGTTTTCACCCATGGCAGCGTGCAGCCAGCAGCTCCCTATTCACAACCACGCACGCTGTGGAAGGGGAAGGAGGCAACCCGCTCACTCGGGGCTGATCTGTATAGGAGGGGTAGTATAAGGATGTGTGGGATGGGAGGGCATCTGGTTCACCACTTTATTTTGTTAAGGACTATTCAGTATAAAAGAATTAACAGATAACAAGGAAAGTGGTAGATTACACACAAACACACACAAACATTAACGAGCAGGTGATAACAGAGACAACAAGTTGTCTTTGGTCACTACAGGAACTAATGCCATTTAAGGAACTACTCAGACACTGCCTTGAACGGGTTCAACCTGAACTTTGTCACTGATAAGGAAGGGGAAATGGGATTATCATACGTGTTATGGTATATTCGAGGGTGTTTGTGGAATTGCATGAAACTTGCTATGGGGTATCAGAAGAGGCTTGTGGGATTATGTTTATCTTATTATGGGAAATTCAGAGGAGGGGCCAAAGGAAGAAAGGGAAGGATGGGGGGAACAAACATCAGAAAATGAAGGCGGGGAATAAAAAGGGCCAGTTGCATTTAAACAGGCTGCTGGTGGGTATGCTTCTCTGGTCAAACCCTGCACCCGATCACCAAGGTCTATCCTTTCTTCTTACTAAATCCTTTCCTTTAATACTTTTTTGTGTAATTCACCCTCTATCCTTTGTGTGGTACTGCTGCAAGGCCTAAGAGTCAGCAGCTGCAGGTCACAAAGTCTGCAGGTCCAGGAACTAGCAACTAGAGGGACCATGGTGTGTCTATGTTTTCCTAGTGAATTTAAACCTCTATGCATTGTATGTGTATGTGTAATTTGCTAGCAAGTTTCAAACCAGAGTAGCCAGTGAACAGAAGGAGACCTGTATCTGGAAAGACTCAAGGTCTAAGTCAGTGGCTGGGCAAGGGGCCCGGGGTCCAGCCCCAGCCACGGAGTTGACACCTGGCAAGGCAGTCCAGCCAAAGCGCTTAGAGACTCTGCTAATATTTGAGGGATCCATGTCTGTGGGGTACACGTGAGACAAGTGTGAGTACGTGTATCCATTTTGATAGCCAACACCAAGTCGGATTTGCTAGCAAATAGGAGGAAACCTGCATTCTGGGTAAGAGCGCTCAGGCACAGATATCAGACGGATTTAGAGGCCATGGTAATATTCAAGGGACCCATGAATGGCGGGTGTGCTTCTGAATCTGACAGTGAGGGTGTCTGTTTTCACTAGTGCACTTCAACCCTGATCAGTCTTTGCCATCCCAAACGTGACTCAAAAGTATCACCCTCCTTAACCCTCCACATCTTGAGAACTAACTTTAGGGCAGATCACAGCCACATATATTGCTGCTGTTGCCATTTCCCTCCCTGCCTGGCTCTCCCAGGGAAAGGGGATTAGAAAGGGAGTAAGAGAAGGACTTTCCCTTTCTGCAAGAGCCGTAAGTGGCCAGGTGCCACTGCCCAGAAATCCCTTTAATTATTCCTTCAGCAGGGCTGCCCTGATGCATGCATGAGCTTTACCTAAGGTGACCTGCAGCACCATACCCTCTAACGTAACTTGGAGTAGCAAACATGAAGGAAGCTGTCATCACAATGCTATCGTCAGAAGTTACCAATAACCTGGGGACATAAGAGTAGAAAAAGGGAAACACTCATCCACTCCCCTCCTCACTTCCTAGCTACCAAACAGCAAGTGAAGCAGCAACATGGAGGCCAAATCCCACCTGTGTTTTAGCACATGGGAGCCAAGAAGTCCCTTGCTTCCCCCACTCCTGGAAAGTTTTTGGGTGGACTTTTAGTTACCAAGCTCAGTAGGCAGGAGAGCTACAGAGAAACTTCATCTTTGTGACCCCTAATTTGCTCTGCTTAAGGGAAGAGATTATGACACTGCTGAGAGCCAGGTACCTCGCGTGGCAGTGGTGCTTTGACATGCTTTGCCTCAAAATCTTTTGTGCTGTTGTGACTCCATTGGGCTTAATGAAGTTTAATCCTAGGGAAGAAGGTGCAGGAACTATGGTGAGAGATCACACTCAAGGAGAGCCAGGAGTGGTAAGGTGAGAGGGGGTGATACACAGGAATTAGAGGTGGAAATGCATTAAGAAAAAATAAAAAAAATAAAAAGAAGAATGGATCAGCAGGGGTGAAAACAGGATCCAGAAGCAGTTTGTGGATGACAGCTGGTGAGATGCATGGCAACAGGGCAGAAGCGGTGGGACCAAAGGAAGAGCTGTGGGCAGGGGAGGCTGGCGGTTCAGAAGGGAAGGGGGCAGAAGAGAAGGAGTAACCGAGCTGGGCGTGGGAGAGAGCTGGGGCAGGAGGGACCAAATTAATGTTGGAGAGTGACAGGCTGAGGAACTGTCTTTAGAGAATGAGAGAGGCCTTCTAGAGGCAGATGACAGCTGAGGAACAGAGGCAACAAGTGAGAAATGAAAACCAGGCTCAAACCAGATGGGAGGACAGTGTGAAAGGCTGGAGAGCCATGAAGGACAAAAGTGGTCGGTGCAGAATCATAGAATAGAATCATAGAAACATTTAGGTTAGAAAAGGCCTTTAAGACCATTGACTCCAACCATTAACCTAACACTGCCAAGTCCACCACTAAACCATGTCCCTAAGCACCACATCTACACGTCTTTTAAATACCTCCAGGGATGGGGACTCAACCACTTCCCTGGGCAGCCTGTTCCAACGCTTGACAATCCTTTCAGTGAAGAAATGTTTCCTAATATCCAATCTATACCTCC